CCCAGTAAAGTAAATTTTTTTACAGACCCTCCTTTATAGACTAAAAAGCATGAAAAGGTTCCCAAACCTACACTCTCATTTTTTTCAATACTGAACATACTAAAACACAGGGTCTATCTTGCACATGTTGGCAAGTCACCACTCATAATAATAAAAAAAAAATATCGATGCATGGACTGTGACAACTGCTAATACCAAGACCTACAAGAACTCACATGGGCTTTGACTGCTCCCCAGGCCTAAGCGAGGGGGTGGCGGGCAGGGTGGAAAACAAAACAATAAAAAGGGTTCAACAAATCTCTCTCTCCTCTCAAAACAAAAGTTAGCTAATCAAACAATCAATAAAAAAGTTTCCAAGAAGCTAAGAACAAGAATCTTCCCCAGAAGAGCAGCTAAAAAACACATGTTCCCTAGAAAATAAGAGAATTAACATGAAAAGTACACTTCCAAGCTAACTATCCAGTARGTTTCAGGCACAAAAAGAATATAACAAATGTAGAACTTCGGATTCTTGTAATTCTTATTTTCTCTTCAAAGTCAGTTGTGCTATAGTGCATCCAAGGACACCATTACAGCAACTGCCATTAAGTTACAGAGTCTTAAAACGCTCCTAAAGCTGCACAGCCTGGGGATAGGGCAGCAAGCTGCCATATGCCCTGACTGCAAAATAAAACAGAGGAATTTAAACCAGCCCTCACATAACTTCTCTGGCAGAGATGGGGAACAATGCTGTAACCCTAGATTTTTACCACAGCCTCAAGTACCCAACAACAGTGTGAGACCTGGAGCTGGCCAAGTGTATGGAATACCCTCAGCGTGGGAGCAGCTCACTGGGCTGTGGCATCAAACTGCACTGACTGGTAGCCATGTCTCATCACCATGGGGAGCTCCTGAACATTCAGGCCACTTGTTTCAAATCAGAAATAAAGAGGATTATGTGTGTGTGTGCATGAATGTGTAAGGCAAAACAAGCACATGCTTTTATATACTCAAAAAAAATCAAGCTTCCCAACAGATAACACTGCAAAGAGGTAGTGATTCCCCAGCATGTTATCGATATTTAAAAATACAGCACTCWAAGCAGAGAAATATGAACAAGCAATGCAGACCCTTTGCATCAGACTAATAACTATACAGCAGAAGTGGCAGCTGCCTAGGAGTTACACCTACATAGCACACTTACTGGTAGTTTTCCTCTGTTTAATATATTGGTCAAATACTTTTTAGCCTCATCCAATCTTGGCTCGTTCTTTTCTACGAGCGGAATGGAGTCCTTCAGTTTGGCAAAGTTCTCTTTCAAGCACTCTTCCAGCAGAGCCTCTGCAAGCAGCATACTCCCGTAGTCCTCTGCAAGCACACACCAACCAAAAAGAAACATCAGTTAGCATTGTATGGCCAATAAACAGTATTACAAAAAAAAAAAAAATGAGAGAGAGAGAGAAAGAGAGAGAGACCAGCAGCAAATTAAAGTGAGGTCTAAGAACTAGTGACTAATGGATAGAAAAAGGAAGATATAGTAACTTCTAGCTATTGGAAACACCGTATCTTCTATGAAAAAAAATAAAAAAAAAATCCTTTTAACTTGGCGATTTTTTCCTAGTCAGATCCTTTAATTTTGACAGGACAGCTCATTGTCATRCTATCACTCATAAAACTGTTACAAATTTTCATCACAAAATTCTGTTTACAAATCAGGCCCAATCTTAGCAAATGTTTACGTTTTAGTTCAAATTTACAGATACACAAGCATGAAGTGGATACTGAGGACTATGGCTAAGCTATTCACTGAAGAACACTGACTACATCAGAAACTTACATGTTTTGTTAAAAGGGTTTGCAGAAAATAAAGATTTTGTTTAGAAATATTCTATATATCTATTATCACAGGCAAACTTAAGATTRACCCTGTAAAATAATTAATATGCTGCATGGATTTCTCTCCACATTAAGATCCATGCCTATTTACAGCTTCTCAGGACAGTAATTCAAACACAGGCGATAGCACTGGATACAGTACAAAGGATCATGCAAGTAGAATGATTCATCTATGACTCTTCTGGCAGGCCTTGTAGGATAGGTTCAGTTCTATAGTTCTTCATTCATACTTGAAGGACCTCAATCAATCGCCTAGCTCTCAAGAAGGGTCAAAACAAAAGTCTTTGTTTTGTAAATCAAAGTCCAAAGTGCTACATTGTATATAGACTTCTTTCCACATCTACAGCACAGAGGAAACAGTAGTCTTTGAATTTTAAGTCTGTGGGACAGCTTAGTCACACTTTGTATACAAACGCACACAGCACTAATCAATTTTTTTTTTCATAATCCAGAACAATAACAAAATCTGAAGTGTTCGGTGGCATGTCACATTAAAGTCATATTTTACCTACTCAGTTGCAGGTATATAGCTAATAACCTAACTTGGGCGAACAGAGTATGGTGTGTACATAAAATAGGCTCTGAAAGCCACCTCAAGGACCAGGTGAGAGGAGCAGAGAGTGGCCCACACTGCTCTCAAAGGTGGTTTTCTTTATGCATGCACCATCATTTCTACACAACGCTGAAGAGTGCTCAGGTAAAGTCATTAACATCTTTGCTAAACTTAACTGAATATAAAAATATAAACAATAAATAAGCACACATACAAAATCTCTAAAGGAAACATTATCATTTAAAAAAATCCCATCCAGACAAGCTATTGTTTTTTCAGAAACACAGAACTAGCTTGGTCCTTCCAGACCCTCCTTAAAGGGTTAAAGGTCTGTAGCAATAMCAGGGCATGATTCATTCATTACCAGCAAATTACAGTGACAGCAACGCATTAACAAATAATGTTTTTACAGCAATCATAYTGCTGCTATTCCTCTTCATTAAAGGGCAGCAAACAAATAACAGCCCTTTCACTATTAATGTCCCCAAAGTGCACAATGCTCTTTGCACCGCTGCAAAGAGCTGCTGAAGTGAAACTAAACTCAAAGATCAGCTGTGTGGTTCTCAACACAGGGTTCGGGCTGGTTTCAAGGACACACTTAGAAAGACTTGTGAATAAACATATATGAAGCTGCCAACCTTTCCCCTCCTAGACACACTTCTCCAGCTGTGAGAAGGCCCTGCAAAGGCTACAGCATCCCAAGCAATTAACTCCAGGCCCCCCTCCTGCTCTAGAAAAGGGGCTTTGGTTCTCTTGAGTAACAGCTGTAAAGATGCACAGTATGTGCAGATGAGATGGGCGATGCAACACAACTCCAAGGCACAGCAATCTCCCCTAACAGAGCAGGCAGGAGGCACGAGCCACCCCGGCTGGGACGATCTGACCCACCAGGCAGATGCAGGAGCCGGAGCAGAGCGGTCCCAGAGAGGGAACTYGCCTCAGCTGGGATCACTCGCCTCAAGAGGTTGCAAATATTTCTGTTTTTCACGGCCGCCGCCTGACGGCAACAAGCRAGGCTTTCGCTCGCTGAAGCAGGCGGTACCCAGCGCTGCTGGCTAGCYGCGTCGGGGTGCGCCCCAGCTCGGCACGGGGGCACTGCCCCAAAGCGCACAGCGGCCGCTCCGCCGGCACCGGCTCTGCGCCTGGGCGACGCCGCGAGCAGCGGGAGGCCGCGGCTCGCCCCGCTCGGGGCCGCCGCCGCCGCGGCTCGCAGCG